GGAGGTGGAAAAATTTGCCGTATTGAAACAGTAAAACAGCTTACAATTAGACTCTCATAAGTGATTAACCTCACGGCCCCCTCCTCCTCCTCCCGTAAAAATCGCCAACTCCGCTGCATGATTGATACTGACCTGCGGTATACTATTTTATTTTGACCTGCACGCGACTACCCATCCATTGTCTAAAAGTCAGTAAACCAACCGCACGCGGTAATTCATACTGATATGCAGCGAGTCACGTCTGATGCATTATTTCGTCGCCCCTCTAACGTAAGGGCGAATCTCTATTTTCATATGAGCCACGATTATCATAAGTTAACCTGAGCGCAGGGCTCACGAGGACGTTGAGATACGTCCTATTGTCAGAGGAGGGACAATTTTTGCTTTGAATTTTAACCACCATCGGTGAGAGTTTACTACGGTGTTGTAAAATCTTCGAATTCTTTTATTTTTGCGATGGGCTCCTCATCATTCCTTATTATAGCATGTTTCCAAAGTATATGATCAAAAATGCATCAATATAAATGGATTAAGGGCAAATTCCTCCGTTCATATGCATGGAGGAGAAAGAATGGCCTTCGTCAGCCGCTCTTCCGCGAAGTTTTGAACTGTTTTGCTTGCACTCAGCGCCTCCAAAATTACCCCAACTACTTCATTCGTTCGTGCCATCATTGCTATAAGCCTCAGACCCCTTAAAATTTCATCTTTCATCAGTATATGAAGACGTTAATTGGTTTGCAAAGATATGTAAAATTATAGCTAATGGCCGGATGAAAGAAACACGCCCCCTCCCCTCCCGCAAATTGTCATTTTAAACGTAGCAACCTCCAAGGGAAAATTAAACCACGAATACCTTAGCTTCGCTATACTTTGAATGTAAAAAAATAAAACTAAAAAACGAGCGTTATGGAATAAAAAAATGTAAGTCAATCCACTTTCCACTCCTTGGTTTTTCTTCTTTTTTTTTGCACTTACAGAAAAAAAAAAAACTATTCCGGCTCACACAGCTGATTCCCCCAGGCAACGATCATTTGTCACAATCACCTCTCTTTGTGAGATGAGGCAGCCCTCCCAAGTACTGATGATTAAAAAAAAAATCTACAAGCACCTCGAGAAGCAGGTAGGTATGAAAATCGTCGTTCATCTAAACCAGTTGAAGAAGGGGCGTCGCCTGACACCGAAGTGAGCCCTAGCTGATCTCCGGAGTCGACTTCGGTTAAAAGATACTGCGAGTGTGGAGGGATACAATTTCACCTTTATAACTTCATAAGCTGAAAAGTATATCGTACAATTATACCTATACAACTTTTGAAGTTTGGAAAAAGTTAACGTTGAGGCGTTATCGCGAGAAAGTGGTTATAGATTTTCATCGATAAGTGTGAAAAATCTCTGTAATTGCAGAGACAGTAGATAATGTATAATTTTCCCATGAAAATCCATCACTTTTAAACGCGGTATCCACAAATGACCCTGGTAGGTACATGGAAAATGCTAGAAAAGTGACCCGCTTTAAAGGCTCTTTTACATTTTATGCGCTTGTCGATAGATCGCAGCTATTGTGTTACTACCTCGTCACTCACCTCCATCCCAAGATTGATTATTGAATGGAAATGAAGTTAGACACGCAACAAGAGTGAGAATACTACTCTGCGTATTCTCTCATCCCCTGTGAGAATCATGAGATGGAATGAAATAAAAATGCAGCAATTCATAACGTGTGGGGTCAACCGTTTCCGTAGGACCGCGTTCTGACAGTTCAGTTCATTGAAGTCCACGTCTCTGTCTGTTTTTGGAGATTGCGGTCTAAGAAAGTTAGGCAATCCACCCTCATGTAACTTTTATCAAAACCTGTATTCTCAATGTAATTTTAACAAATTCGGAGCGAAGTCATGACGAAGATTTTCATTTTGGGGCTATCAAGATTTTTAAAAGAGGAGGAAAGTCTGGAAAATGCGAAGAGGAGATCGAAGGACCAAGAAAATCTCATGAATAATGATAAAATGACGAGTGCTGTCACAAAGGACGCGCTCGCAGCCAATCGTTGGCATAATAAAGGAATATGTTCTTTAACTACCCGTATTTCCTTCTTTTTTTGTTTAATTAACATACTTAATTGATTCAATCTTCTCTAGATTCCAGATTTAAAATTGCAGATTTTAATCACAGCTTTAAAATAGCTCAGTTTTGAATGTCAGATGCGAAAATCGCAATTTGAGAGCTGAAAGGATGCCAAGACGGATACATTAATGGTCCTAAATGCGATAAATTTGAAAAAAAATTAGACTTCCTAAAAAGTAAGCAGTATACTGCTTACTTTTTAGGATCTATAGATCGGGGGTAGAGAATAGCTGTGCCGAATTGTAACTGAAGTGTTTTTTAGACAGATGCGCGAACTGCAATATTCCTATGCATTGAGTATCAATACAATGGAAATCTCGGACCAATAAAGAGGTAAGTAGGTGACATTTCTTTTGTAGTGTATTTTCTGAAGAAAATACATTATTTTTAAAAAATAGAGATGCAGTTGATTCGTAATAAGTTTTAAATGCTAAGTATACTTCCCCATAAAATTAGCTCGACTTTTACCTCCATAAGATCAGTTGTGACCAATTGCGAAGACCTATAAAGTAATTTTTGAACTCAAAACTCGTTTTTCTCAAAATTTCAGCAGTGTTACTTAGGTATTTCATTCATCCACCGAGAGATTCAACACTCAGATATCTATAGGCGCGAGCTAAATTACAAATTAAGTAGCTGAATTGGATTGGACTTACGGCAAATCATCCTTCTTGCAACCGTGGAGGAAAGGAGTAATTTAATACCAAAATACAAAGAATAGTTTGCGACGCGGCCCTTCCAAAAATAAGAAGTTTCTAAAAAGACGTTCCCGAAATTGTTTTTATACAAATCTAACCCGTCAAATCAAATCAGACAACTTAGTCAAGCTTTTTAAATGAATCTCGTCATTTTGTTGAACTTTCGCGTAAGAAGTTACCGTGAAAGGAATGATTTGCTTTCCATTAACAATACCCGTTGAACTTATACATTAAAAAGTATTAATCCAGAAAACGGCTAAAGATTGCACTGAATAACCTTATTTTGTGCCTCATATCAACTCAAAATCAAAGTCGCCCTTAAATACCGAGTGGCAGTCATAACAACTGCATTTACAAATGTAACCGTGAGAAACACAGAGCGGGGTTGAGTTTCATTTTCGTCAGGTCGGAAAAACCACCGAGACCGAAATAATATAGGAAATTCAAATACAATGAAAGTCGTTGACCGTTATCCCTGATAAGACAAAGTAAGTCAATGATCAGTCGCGATGAAGAGAGGCGCACAAAAAAAAGGAAGCGAATTTATGCTTGTCTCACTTTCACTGTTTACTCACCTGATAGCCAATGTTGTTCAAATAGCGCGAACGATTCATTGAGTGTCAATTTGAAACACTGTTTTTCAGCGGACTACTGTGCTTTCTTTTTTATTTAACAAACAAAGAGTGCGCTCAGGTTCAGTCACTCCTACTCCTGTTCCTATTAAGTTCCATCTTTTGTTAATGAGCCAGCAACAATTTGAGGCTCGACTGCCGAAAGCCGGGGTAATTAAATAAGTGCTCCAACATCTCTGCGCGGCTCTTAGTTTCTAATCGATATAATTGTCGATAATTAAACGGAATCACATGAAAACTAAAAGTTACCAGCGTGGGTATGAACCTTATGACCTTGATGAATACTTTTATAGTTCAGAGCATGGTGATGGTTTTTTTACGTTGAAGATGGGAAGTATTAGTTGGGAGAGCCAAGTACACTGTTACTGTTTCCTCAAGCATGATATGATCTTTTCTTCCCTCCAGCCACCATTTATTATGCTCTCCTGTGTGTATAAAGTGGCAAAAAGAAGTTGCAGAAAGTTGCAGAGACGCTGTCACAACGTTACTGTCAAAATTAACAATGCAGCAAGATTTCTGTTACCTACGTTTTATAACGTTATTTTTGTCCGTTGCGGGTTGAAAAGGGACAATAAGAATAATTAGATGTATTTAATCACCTGGAACCATCTCTATCGTAAGTAGGGCCCTCGATCCATTAGGATAAATGAATGATAAGAGGGCCCACGTTACAATAGAGATAGTTTCTCTGGATTCACATACGTTCAATTGTCGCACCTCTGAATTACTAGTTACTAGTTTTGTACTTGAGTGTCGAGCTAAGTACGTGTATGCTAAATGGAGGTTTGATGATTTCTCGCGATTTAAGACATAATTATTTTTCCCTCAAAAGTTTTTAAATATTTTGTGTAAAAAAGTCTATATTTGGAGCGAATTTAACGAGAAAGGACCGATGTTTTCTCTAGCAAACCAGCGGCCCGATTATTTATACTGTGTCGGCCCGACACGACAAGACAAAACCCTATCTTAAGCATGCAATATATCGCGATTCGATGTCACCTCGGGCTGCTATAAACTTTCAATAATCGGCCTGCGGGAAGAGGTATGCTCATAGGTTGCTTGGACGAAATCCACATGCATCGCTATGCAATTGCTTCCTTATTCTCAGGATCGATTTCACCGACATGAAAACTAGGAGGAAACCAACTGTGCGCCTGGTTCTATTTTTAGTTGATTTAGTTCTTGTTGCAATACAAAAAAAAAACCCCCGAGTTTTGAAAAAATTGGGGGGTAAATAAATGATTTTAACCGCAAATTAGACTTACTTTGTCAAAAATCAACGAAAAAAGCGCCTGCAAATTATAAGAATAAAAATTCTGGTAAGAAAATTTGTTATGATGAGAAGTGAAAGGGAAATTTTTCAACGAGCAGACGCATCGTTTCTCAAAAAGCTTGACTCCTCCTCCTCTTCGCTATGCTTGATCCATTTTCTTCCATCGCTGAAGAAAAATCTCACGTCGCTCTACAGATTTATCCAATTCAATCATAACTTTCACTCTTCTTTGATAGAAAAAAAAAGACTTTAAATGTATACCAATAGATAAAAACTCACCTTTGACTTTTTGGAGGAGTAGTTCTAACCATTGTTCTTTTCTCGTCCTTTGGAAGACGAAGATAATCTTGGTCACCCAACAAAAACAGGTCCTTGGATATAATCATGTCCTCTTCAAGAGAAACTGATTTGATGATGGTTACAACGCACAAAATAAACCGTGTAAACCGCAAAGACGATGAGAATGAACAAGATAGGAACGATGATGGGAAGGGGATTTATAAATGACGAACGAACGAAAACACGGGGTTTCGGCTTTGTCACAAGGAATCAAAATGTTCTCCTCATGTTGAAAAATCATCTATTCTACAAACTGGAAACTTGAAGGTCCGAGTCGAGAAACATCTTTCACGTGTAAAAAAAACCAGGGGATCCAACATAGTCCTCTGAAAAACCGAACACGTGCTCCATCGAGAATCAACCCGCGAGGTGACTTACACAGACTCGTTTTTAAGTCAATAGAAATTTACACTTCAATTTATGCGATTAATATTGTCTATAACGATTAAATACTGGATTATGGATGATCTTATCCCAATATATTTATATACTAGATAGAAGTAAATATATTTTAATACAAAAATAAGTGAACTGGGTGGTCAAAAAAACGAAGGCGATTTCCGAAGGGTATTCGAGAAAAATGTACGAACTCAACGATTTTAATAATATAAAAAATTAAAAATATATAAATCGAGTAGTAATATCACTTTTTGTAGGCACTTGCTGAAGAAGAGAGGAGACGAAGCTGGAGACGAAAACGAGGATGACAGCAGACCGGACCCGACACTTTTCACAATGTGGTAAGCTTCATGACTGTGCCAGACCGTAGTTGGGCTCCCAACTTGACTGCCTGGAAGTGCGAGAGGTGACTGGCGCTGCTCTCTGGCGTTCTTGTGACCAACTACTCCGCTGATCTCCTTCCTTTTACCAGTTAGTCTATACCTCCGCCTACCTAACGTCCTAAAACGACTCAGCCACCGCACCGCCACTGTTGTTCGCATTGCCGCACAGTGGATCGAGTCAATTAGAGAGGTCGGACATGAAATTTTTGACTAAAATTGCAAATTTTGATGTTTAATTTGTCACATTTTAAATTATAAGGGGTGTTACTGATAGAAAATTTCACGAGAAAAACAATGGAGTCACTTTTGGAACTTCAAAGTTCCATATAAACGGAGTTATAAGCGTTTAAAGTTTCCAAATTTTGTCCGACTTCTCCTATTGACTCGATCCACTGTGTGCCGTAACGAGCGCGGATTAACACAGCCACCCGCCGCGCTCCGCCACCGTTCCTGCTCCTCCGTTCTCCAGCTTATTAACCTCTCACCCTCGCCCCCCCCCCCCCCCCCCCCCCCCCCCCCCCCCCCCCCCCCCCCCCCCCCCCCCCCCCCCCCCCCCCCCCCCCCCCCCCCCCCCCCCCCCCCCCCCCCCCNTGACCGAGCCTCTACTTTCTCTCTCCTCCTCATACCATACCATACCATAGGTACTCCAGCCCCTCTGTCAGTTGAATACCTTCCTGGAACTGTTTTCCCTTATATGGTGAATCAGTCCAACATCACCCACATCATAACCGGAGCTTAGTGTCCAGCCAATGTCACCATGATTCAGTGACGTTTCCTGACTAGAGAGAACGGAATGAAGATCTTGAATTCCACGGGAATTCGCGATTTTAGTAGTATACCCAATGTAAAATACTACGGTAGACATCACCTATATCTATGCTGCAGTGCTAAGGAAGAACGCCGTAAGAGCATCCGAGAGTTGCCAGATTCCTTCTTTGAAAATCGTTATTTTAGGAGAGTATCATGAATATTTTTCCTTGACATCGCTTCAGACTTTTACATCAAATTACGAACGAAATCCTCTCGAAAATCAGAAGAGAGATATTTATAAATTTCCCTGAAAATCCTTATCTTGTCGAAGGAAATTTGGCAACGCCTGGTGGTTCATACTGTGTTCTTCCTTAGCATGGCAGTATGGTAAAACTGTAAAAATGCGTACCTCAGTTGCGGTGTTTCAATAAGTAATCTTCGCTATTTTATTTTTTAAAAGGAGACCAAATCAACATAATGTCTAAACACAGAGTATTATTCATGAAGAGGAGAAAAATCACTGAAATTTTCAAAGAATGATGTTCAGTATTTTTCGGTAGAGAAAATAAAGTATGACGAGAAGTCTGCAACGCCGCAAACCGAGATTCGTATTCCTGCAGTTTCACCATAGATATGCTCTGCTACTTGTTTTCTCTTAAATAAACTCCTAAGCTCAAATGAAGCACTTTAAGTTGAGGCCGGAATGAAAGGGATCCCGGAATTGTGAGCTAGTTCACCTCTACCTAAAACCAGTTAAACTCGCTACGCACATATGGGCAGTGAATACATTAGCAGGGTTGCAGTGGGTGCAGTGTTCGAGACTCACCTTTGAGTTTCAGGAGCCATGTGGCTCATCGAGCTCGATTTTTAGGGGCCATTGAGGATTTTTTAGGGGCCACATTGACTTTTTGCTTATATATCACGGCGCATTTAGCGAAAAGTTAGACGCAAGATATTTTAGTTACAGAACAAGTAGCTTTAACTTGGGAAAAATTACGAAAAATCACCAGACAGAAAAATTACGATTTTTTTCTGGGGGGAGGGGAGGGGCAATTTTTAGGGGCCACGTTGGCGCAGAGCCTTCATTTTTTAGGTGCCTGGTGCCATGGCCGATTTCTTGGGCGCATTTGGCGCCTGTGAGTTTCGAACACTGAGTGGATGCAAACTAAAAAATCACCAATTTGACTCAGGAACCCCCGCACACAAGACGACAAATCCTCCGATGCATTCGCCTTATATTTGTCTTAGATCGTAGAAAGTTTGCGAGGATTCAAAGATGCACTTCCTGATAACTCTCGAGATTTCCTTAGATTTTCTCCGACAAATTCTAGTGTGTTAACGTGGGCTCCCACATGCTCGAATAACGCGGCATAATCGTTCATGTCACGCGTATTCAGAACGCACAAAGTTTCATCTACCGAACGTGGAGAGGTGATTATAGCGCATTTGCAGTTCGCCTTCAATTTTCTTTATAGGCAACACGGGCTCCCAAGTGGTCGAATAGTGGTATCATCGTGAAACGGCACGCTTACTGGGATACACCGAAAATATCCGTTTACCAAAAGTGGAGAGGTGATGGTAACGCATTTATAGTTCGCCTACAATCTTCGAGGTAGGCAACACGGGTTCCCATGTGGTCGAATAGTGGTATCATTATGGGATTTTGCGCTTATTTGGGACACAAACGAGAGCGAGCAGATTAATTTTGCGATTTATTGGATCGCATGTAATTCTAATTCGAAGGAATTGGAATTGTCACACGGTCGTATTGTTGCATCGTCGAAAGATGGATTGCGAACTTCCATTTCTGCGACCTCTATCAATTGGGAAGGCTTTAAATTAAAATCCAAATATGATTTGAAAAAATGGATATTTGAAGCATTAAATTAAGAAATATGTGTATTCAAGGAAAACGTAGTCTAAAAGAAATATTGTAAAAAACCTTCGTGACAACTGAAAAAAAATGAATACTGAGGATAAAAGATGGTAATGAAAACAAAATAAATTTTGAAGGAAGAGGAAAATAAAAAGTGAAAAAGACTCATACGCGCCAAATGAAACAAAAATAAATAAAAAAACAAATGAAATCACCTGTATGATGAAAACTTAGACATTTTGGCCACCATTTCTTTTGGGCTCTCAGTAATGAATCACTGAGATGAAGAATATTCTAATGATATCCACCTGAATTTTATTACTCAAAAAAATTAAAAAAAACTTGCCTGAAGAATGTTTGCATTTTATTTATCACATTTTATTACTTTAATTTATTTTTATCTGTACCTGCATTTATTTTATCAAAAGTGTTTATAACTTTCCAGCTGCGGGTGAACTTGAAATGTATGAATGAATGACGAAAAAAAAAAGTAATTTGAACCCAGCTGCTACTTATAAGGCGATTTTATGACTCGGTCATCATAATAATGTGTAATTAATGAAAATTTACCGGGTGTAAACATAAATTGCGCCTAACTCATATTTTTAGATAATGAATGGGATAAATAATAGATTCTCGCCAGAGTGAATTAATTTAATGATAAGGTGAGCGTACGATCATACAAATGAGGAATGTATATACTTCCAGTTGCCTCTTCCTTAAAACGCCTGCAATTTCAAAGAACGCTACTTTACGTGCATGACACTTCTCATATGTATTGTTGTCGCTTCCTTAGCCAGATTCCTAGGTCCAATTTTAGTGTATTTTCCGAGGAAACTAACCTATCTTTGTGGTTAAATCGTTTTCAATGCTTCGAATTGCATTTTTTAAACTAAATCAGCAATAACAGACTTAAAATTCAAGAACACCTTTCAGGAGTTTATGACGTCCGCGAACAGTTCACTCTTGCGCGACGAAAATTACTTATTATTAGTTGTTTTAAGTAGGAATAACTAGGATGTAACAACGCTCCAAATCGATAGATAGCTCATTTTGCGATGACAAATCAGAAATCTATTCGATTAGAGCTGATTTATTTCCGAGGAATTTCTACGAGATTGGAGTAAACCAACCAATGGATGCGTGCGCACATAGGCTCGTAAGAAGATAATCTGTTAATATGGGCGGATCCAAAAACCACAACAGAAGGAGAGAGTCCTCATTAATTCCCTGGCCAAGCCCAAACATGGGATTTTGAGGGGCTTGAGAGAGAGTAGATTGGGTTGGGAGCCGAATAATTCCTCAAAACCGTAGTTTTAGGACATCCTTGATTACTTCAAGTGATTAAAATAAAAATCCGTTTCTTTGTTTTCTTTGAAGTTTTCTTTGAACTGAGAGGAAAATTAACAGAAGTTTTCAAAAATTGACGTTGAGTTGTTTTCCATTTAAATAATAGATTATGACAGGAAGTCTGCAACGTCGCAAATAGAGATGCGTAGGCTGGCGATTTCACCCTCGATATGGAAGTTGAGATAATCTTTTCTACCGTGTGGACATTATTCTGTTCCTACTTTTTACGTTTACCCTTTTTTCTTGATTATCTTCTTCTCCTTTGTTCTGATTTTTCATTTTTTTCCTTTTCTGAAAAATTAGTAGTTTGACATTACACCGCTTCGCAAAAGGAGTTTAAGAGGGAAATAATCTCCGATGGATGAAGGTAGAATGGCTGTGAATAGGACTTTTCATACTGATGGCAAGTTTCTGGTAAACGCCTAATCACAGCTATTTTAATGCCAGTAATGCAGTTTGTGGATTACGTCTAAAAACTATGCAACCTGCCGCTTTGAATATTCTTTTTACATTCTCCATGAACTCCAACTACCTCAGCAGTTGAAAATAAAAGTGATCAGTGAAACATGCACCAACTTTAGCGATGGAGGAGAGCAAGGAATTCCTGAGAAGATTATTACCTCGCATTCATTGCAGACGTGCATACGTAAAATTTTGAATTCGCTCGTAAAATGTTGCAATAATTCAAATTTAAATATTTTTTCGCTGCAGCTCTGCGATGAAAATCCTTGAGAATATTCTGAAAAATTTTAAAATTTGGTCCCGTTCAGATATTGCAAGACATGCGTTTAGGGAAATTTTTGACAATATGCTGAGAAGCAATATGGTTACACGATGTGTCCTCAAAATACCGGCATAACAATGCAGGCAACAAAACGGTTCAAGAGGCAATTTTGAGATTGAGTTACTGGTGACAGTGCAAGGTTCCAATTGGATAAATTAAGTATAATACTTAGAATTGAAAATAAAAAACTGAACAGTAAAATAAGTCATCGGTCTCATCACTTATGACTTTTGCACTGAATCAATGTCAGCGATTTGAATTCGCATAAAACTTTGCCTTCGTAT